CAAGATATCGCGATGTATTTTCATAAAGGATACTACTCACAAGTTTGCTGAGAACTCTTCAACAGCCCAGTGCCCGTTACTTTCGGTTGCCCAAAATAACACCCTCTGAAACACCAGCGGGTGCACCTATCGTTGCAATCATTCCAAAAATCATAGGTGATATCAGCGTGGAAGTTTCCCAGATGAATCGACCTTTTCCCAGAAAATACTTTCACAACCGCTTGTTTACATTCCTATTACTATTCCTTTAATATCATCTTCGAAAATGTACAGCTAACAGGGATTCGCTGGAATGGGGTTCGGATAAAAACCTGTTCTCGTGCATGGATGAGCATGTTTATGGATTAAGTTAGCAGAGTGAACCCAAAATTTACAGCTCACAAGACAATCTTCAGTCCTACCAACTCAATTAATTCCCTGTTGGTCCACTAAACCCACTGCATTTCTAGGCGAGGTCATGTGAAAACCCGAAGCAAGTTGGTAGGCAGCTACGGGGCTATACTTTCTTGATAGACAGAATTCCCCACAGATCCGGTCTTACCGCTCACAGTCAGGTGCTGCTACGGCCGAGAAGTTCATCCCACGCACGATTAACCGAAAATTCGGGACGCTTGCCGGTCCGGCATCAAGCCGAGATCTGATTGTTCGAAAGTCTGGACCCAGTAGCCAAACATGACCCAGTAATGGCCGAATGCCGGTTGCCAATCGCGCATCCAGAAAGCGTCAGAATTTCCAGATAGTTTTTGCCGCCTACGCTATATATATGAAGCGCTGTACAAGTGTTTTTGACTTCATTTTGGAAGTTAATATACATTGTGCACCCTTGGTGGTTGTTTTTGACGTGAACGCTAGCTTCGGAGGCTCAGATCGAGAACTAAGCTGAGAAAAATACCGTTACTACATTTCCTTCCGAATCCTCTCCGACCGGTCAAATAAAGGAAAATAGAAGAAACCAAGGAAATTCTGGGAGAGTGATCAATTTGAGTTACGCATTTTTAACCGGTTTGTCCTTGCGAACAAAGGCAGCACGTTCTCATTGACATGATTAACCAGACTGATGTCGTTGAAAATTGGAGAGGTCTTTATTAATCGATAAAAACTCAAAAGAATGGTGGACCTCATGATTGGCACATGTTACAGGGTCCAGTTTGCTTGTAGCTGATAGAAGATTTCTGGGTTTTGTGACGAAAATCCGTCACTTATATCATTCACCAGTTTGACAGCGAATTTACCAACCGGAAGGTCTATGGTTCGAACTCGACCTCTACCACTCGACTTCCCCGGTCTAGGCTGGGACAACCTGGCAGCATCCCAGCCCTCGTGCTTCCTCCGGGTGGCATGGCAGCTAGGCGCCGAGAGGGTGTTACAGCTGAGCGATGTATTTATTTGGTTTCTCACGCGAAAGTATTGGTACAGCGCAACTCGATAGCTCTCCAAAAGTTACAGACACCTTTGAAAACGACGAGGGAGTCATTTGGATATTTAAAAACCGATAAGAATAAAACCGCTGCTGAGAAACCAAGCACAGACTGCTCCTAGTACAACTAAAAGTAAAACACTGGGATGTTTGCTGGGTCGGAAGTCCAAAGTTCAAGTTCGTAGTAAGAGGACATTTGGTAAATTTCAATTGAAATTTCATCCTGTCACTGAAGGCAATCTATGCTGAAAAGCCAAGTAACACTGTACGGTTGTTTCTCTCCCATTAAGAAACTTCAGCCAGGTGCATTTCAGAAAATTCCAAAACGTCGTACCCGCGACCTGCCGCATAATCGTCCGAACATTTTACCATTCAGCCATGGGTGGCTGGGCAGCATTATGGTTGACTAACGATTGGAGCGAACATAGGTCGCACTTAGACAGGATATAGTGCCACGCGTCCCCGAATCACAGGAACCAAATCACCTAGCGCCGAGAGTACAGCTGAGCGATGTATTTATTTGGTTTCTCACGCGAAAGTATTGGTACAGCGCAACTCGATAGCTCTCCAAAAGTTACAGACACCTTTGAAAACGACGAGGGAGTCATTTGGATATTTAAAAACCGATAAGAATAAAACCGCTGCTGAGAAACCAAGCACAGACTGCTCCTAGTACAACTAAAAGTAAAACACTGGGATGTTTGCTGGGTCGGAAGTCCAAAGTTCAAGTTCGTAGTAAGAGGACATTTGGTAAATTTCAATTGAAATTTCATCCTGTCACTGAAGGCAATCTATGCTGAAAAGCCAAGTAACACTGTACGGTTGTTTCTCTCCCATTAAGAAACTTCAGCCAGGTGCATTTCAGAAAATTCCAAAACGTCGTACCCGCGACCTGCCGCATAATCGTCCGAACATTTTACCATTCAGCCATGGGTGGCTGGGCAGCATTATGGTTGACTAACGATTGGAGCGAACATAGGTCGCACTTAGACAGGATATAGTGCCACGCGTCCCCGAATCACAGGAACCAAATCACCTAGCCACTTGTTGACTGTCTCTTCCAGTGAAGATCTTCCAGATGAAATTACTTTTGGCAATATAAGGGGCTTTAAGAATTTTAAGTTGAAATCTCGTCCCGTAATTGAAGCACAGTCTCGGTAGGCTTCGGTTGGAAAATTCGCCCACACACAAACACGCACGAGTTCATAACCTGTACCGATTGAAATTTCCGCGTACATCGTTACGAAAGATTCTCAAAAGCTTGAATCCTCATACGTCAGCTTGCCACGTACGATGCAGATTAATCTGTTTTATTCGGTAAAATTTCACACTCGTGACGCGCTGGATTTGTTTGGGGATGATGTGGACGTTTTCTATCCCCAGTGTTAATCGAACTAGACGATGTACGTACCGCCGCCATTCACTGGCAGCGCTCGTCGGTGCATCGTGGTTAGACCTAAGGGGTTTCCCTTTCAACAAGAGACAAAACTTGTCCGTTCGATCTGCCGACACTCATGCACATTCGCCCAGGAAGGACATGTCTGTATTCACAGTACTTCTATGGACTGCACCGTAAACTGAGCGGACAGCTAATTAAGGATACCTGACGATTAAGTCATATGCCAGGACAGCCATACGATTGTTTCAATTGCTTGAGTGAACAAAAAAGCGTGTGAAATTTTCAAGATCATCACCCTTAAACCTCAAATCATACTGAACCTACGATTTGGTTGACTCGACTGACTGAAATGTTTTCAGCAGCGAAAAGTTTCACTACTGATCAATTAATTGGTAGCACGTTTCCGCGAATAATATATTGCACAATGTGCGGGTCAATATGGGGTCCGCTGAGCATGCCGATTGCCGGGCTATGGATGCGAGCTACTTCGTTCGAGAGAACTCTTTGATCATCGTTCAAACCCTGTCAACCTCTAAGGTGAGGTTGCTAAAGGTGCTCGCTCCGCACTCCTGGTTTTGCTCCAGTTCGATATTTCAACCGTCAAATTGGCTTCAATCGCACCTGTTCCCAGCGTTGGTGCAATGCGCGATTTGCAACCAGTCAATCAGCTAAGACTTTGAAGCCTTCCACTCATCCATTTTTAAATAAAATTGATGGATTGCAATCACTTCAAAGATTGACTGAATCCACTTTATGTATCGATTCACGAGGATTATGACTGATAAAACTGTACGTGCACGGGTTGACTACACGCAATCGGCATCATCATTGAAAGCATTTTAGTGTTCAACACCGATGCTTCGCTGCCGTACAACCATGATTTATTTGAAGACCTTATGATGAGGGACTTTGTGCTACTTTACTATAATCATTCCGAGGAGTCTATACCTATAGGCACTCATTCAGGCATTTTGGATAGAAACTGACAACAAGACATCGGTTGGCAGACATATCTTGCAGCGTTTTCAACCACTCGCAGTGAGTATCCAGCGGTCCCCATCCCGGTAGGCAAGTATCGCCAACAGCACCCAAAAGTTCTTTAATCTCTTTCAAACCCCTCTGCCAGGTTAGGGATCGGCCAACTCTTTAATTCATCTATTCTCAATTGGGCATGAAAAACAGCACTCTCTTCGCAATACGATGGTCGGGCATACGCAACGCATGTCCCAACCAACGCAGCTTCTGTTTCTGGACACATTCTTTAATAGAAGTACTCGTTGCACAACCCCTTTCAAATCGCCTCATTATGGATTCACCGACACCAGCTCACACGAGCTATGGTTCTGAGACAATGATTATCGAACAGGCCAAGTCTCACAACTACACCAAAGAAGAACCCGTACTTCAGCCTGATATGCACGCCCCTTGAGAGTCAGGGATATACCCCTTTACGCCATACGTGTCTCAACTTAGCAAACACGATTGAAGCCTTGCAGATTTGTGCACTGACCTCATTTGTCACACTGCAATCAGAACTGATACAACTTCCCAGGTACGCTCCACAACTTCGAGGGTCTCTCCCCATATTGTAAGCGGTCCGTGTAGTGACTGCATGTCCAGGATATCAGTGTTGTTCTCTGTGCCTCCTTCAGAATGGTACAAACTGTGAGGTGGACAGGATATACCTTGGCAAAAGGATGTAAAGGGGGTTACGAAGAGTTTCGGTGTTGATGGTGCACCTAGCCCTCTAGGATGGGGTCATGCTGACCCTTCCTGCGTTTGCTTAGAGACGTTGCGAGAAACGGCGGTTGATCAGTGCCACTGGCGTTCGTGCCCTCAATTTCCTCCCAGACTGCCTGATTGAGCACATGCATGTGTAAGCACCTCAGAACATTTGCGGTAGATTAGCATCAAGTTTCTCCCTCATGGATTCTCTCTTCTTCCACCTCAATGCCCCAAGTATAATTATCTAAATCTTGTGGTTTTCCGGAAGTGAACCATCAGTGTCAGTATTGATGTTACTACCTCTGATAATTGGGCTATGAACATGCCTTGAAATTTGAAACGACCTTAGCAGTTGCAGCAATAGGAAAGCTATTCCAACCCCGAGTGATCGAATGATAAGACGAAGAGATCAAACCGTGGACAAAAATATGAAGCCCGTAAGAGAAAAAAAGCAGGGCATGTCAGATGAGGCGTGTACTTTTGCCCAAATTCGCCCAGTGGGCAGAAAAACAGAAATGTCACGGAACCAATAAGTACGAGCACCGGTGGGTGGGGAGCCTAGACGAGAAGCCAATATTCACATAGAAACACGTCTAGTTCGTGTAAAGGGCAAACATCGATGGATCTGTCACTCCGTTCGCCGAATTGCTATGCCGTTTCGTCGTTGCTACAGGTGGAAGCCGACAATGGCTTTTGGAAAAGTCCATACACGCAGTTGTATTCATACGATAGCATAGATGCGGGATTCTGAGTGTAGCCACAACGTATTCCAGTCTTTTCTTTCTACAATGAAGAATGACAACAGGTCCATTTACAAGCAGCAAGTATTCGACTGGAACGGTAAAAAATGAATCAACCGACAACATTGTCATCTCCGGCTCCTCCCCCGGACTCAAGAAATTTATATGACCTCTACCGAAGAATCCTGTCTAACCATTCTGGTGCCCAGCTGTCACGTTAACAGTACAAGGGCTGAGCTACTGTCAATTTGCCCAAGCTCAGACAAGAGTAGTCTAGATGCAGAGATTGGGCTCGAACCACGGACCTACCGATCAGTAGTTTCGCGCAAAACCACTGAGGTTCCTCGAGCACAAACGCATCGCTATCCACCAGGTAAGCGTTTCTACCAGAACCTTGACCTACTGTCAGTAGCTCAAATCTTTTACCCGCAAGTGACAGAGAAGCCCCTGTTGACGTCAAATGCATCAAAAAGCCACCGACCGTTGGAACAGATCACAAACCCTAAACAAGAGTCAAATGCCTAGTCTGGATAAAAGGAGTCGATTGAAGGTGTAAATGCACTCACAGTACTCCTGTCCATTTTATGTCCTAATGCATCTATTCTGGTGAGTCTATACCAAGAAGAGGAAGTACTGAACTGAAGTTCCACTCCTATTAGAGTCGTTTCAGGATTTGAACACTGGACAGATGAGATGCATGGCGGGAGTATGATCACTACCCCACTAAGGATAGAGTGGATGATACCAATAGATCACATAGCGCAGTAAATATCGCTTGTGCGCTGATGAAAAGTGCAGGCAGACGAAGCGAGACAGACCAGAGTCGACAAAAGCACAAAAAGAACTCATTTTGAGGCTTCTACTTGGTATTTTGTCCCGTAATTGTAAATAACCTATGCCAAAAACCCGAGAAGTACTGTGTTGGTGATCATAAGCAGTGCTCATCTCATAAAACTTTGGAGTTTTCGAACCGGGAACCTCTTGGCTGGTAGGTTGCCAACGAACGACTGATCAGCATTGTGATTAACTCGCACTAAATCATTATTCACCCTGAAATCAAGGAAATCACATCGGATTATTACGCGCTAAATAGCTCCTTCGGATGAGTCAAACTTCCATTTGGAAAACTGCCACTCGAGGAGCCAGTTAACATGTGTGACCGCGCTATGTGGATCCCGCGACTGAGTGGCTCTATTTCCTCCCTAGCTGTGAGCTAATCACACTGCCGTTTAGCCGCACTGGGCTGAACGGTTAAGTATTCCAGCTACTAGAAGGGTGGTCACCGGCTCGAAACATACTGAGGTGCGCACTGTTGATGATTCACTGTACAGTGCTTATCGGCTGTCTATCACAGACTGGCTTCACTCACAGAAGGAAAACTCATCTGAACGTTCTCGAATTTCTTCATATCGCCAATGGATTTTGACGTACTGAACAAGAGTACACGACAGTAAAACCTCTCACTGGAGAGGTTTAAGTTCATTCGTCCCGCAAGCATGAACAGTAGTTAAGGCTAACGTGAGTATAAAACCCACAAGAGGGATATAAGTTTGGGAACAAAAAACAAGTAGAAGGCTTATCACACAAATTAGGGTTAAAACTATATGGGTCAGAAACTGGAAAATAAAATGAACTTTGCACTGAAGTTCGAGTTGAAGAAACAAAGATCTCCTAGTCTCCTGCTAGGTCCAGGACCCAAGCATGGAAACACATTCGGAAAGAGCCTTGGAAAAGAATCTTGATTTCGTGAATTTTCAACAGTACACAACACTCGTCTTTGATTGATTAATATGCCATCAGAGTAGAAAATAGGGGGTATGCTCAGTCCCTGTTGACAGTGCAGGTCCGAGTGACAAAGTTTGTCCAATCAGCCACAGATATCCAATGTGGCTGAAAAGAGTGGTCACATAAGTTCATGTGACCAGTGTACACAGTACATACTGTACTAGTGTACATAGAATTAATGTAGCAAAACAGTGAGTGAATGAAGGCATACAACTAAATGCAGCAAAGTTGACTGAAACCACAGCTTCATGGGTCAATTATTGGTCTTGACAGGCCCGAAAGTCATCTTCACATAATTGCCGTCTTAACTTTGCCTACTGAAAACATGTAGCAGTAGTTTGCCCTAATAGCAAAAAACGAACATACTACGGTTGTGAAGCCGATTCGCTGGATTGCCAAGCGCAATTCCTCGTAACTTAATTCCAACGAATCTTCTCCAGGAATGTCCGAGAAGTGATAGAGGAGTGGACCTGCAATAAACAGAGGCAAGAAAACGAAAGCTCAAAACAATGGTGTGTAATGCTGACGTAACCCCGCCCCACTTTTGTGTTTAGTGCGAGTATATGAAGTGGCGTTTGTTTGTCCTTACTACTTCACTTATTTGGCCTTGAGGTCATCCAGCCATTTGTGCCCGATTTCATGCGCGTGTGACTGTCTAACGTGGGAGCCTATTTGCTCATTTGGTTCGTACTTTTGTAGTCTAGGTGGACCATTTGTTTTGGACGAGCAACTACTTTCGAGGTTCGTATAATTTGTGAATTTATGTCGTACATCAATAGTACTGTATAGAACCCGACTTTGTTTTGCCTTACCGGAGGTTCGGGTACTGTGCGTCACTCGAAGATACCGTTTGCTCGTTACAACGGTAGTCCTCGCCACAGAAAAAATTTTGCGATGACACTTTTTTTCCCAAAAATTACCGATTAGAAACCGAACTACGAAGAAACTACCTAGAACAGGTCGAACATCAGCATGTTGAATTGGTCGGAGTCTGGGAATCAAACGAGCACTGAATGGACCGTTCATTCACGAATCCTTCCAAGTGCAGAGAGTGCATTTGGACGTATATTCCGGATCGCGAAATTCGGGAACTGTCTGCCAACAATCGAAGAGCCCAGCAGGCCGTCAGTGGCCTTCACTCAAACTAGTAAATGGCTGAAGAATTTCGTAATTATTAGCAATAACCCCCCTTGTGAACACCGACGATTCACACTAGGAGGAAAATAAGGGCTTTGTGTCAGTGGCTTTCACTCAAACTAGTAAATGGCTGAAGGATTTCGTAATTATTAGCAATAACCCTCCTTGTGAACACCGACGCTTCACACTAGGAGGAAAATAAGGGCTTTGTCAATTCTCCCGAAACTTCGCTCGAACTACATCATTGACGCACTGTCTGGAACTTCTCTGCCTGCTTCCGAAACCCCGGGGATCGAAATGCGTCAATTCAGCACCGGTCAGAAGGGAGTCTCACTTAGAGCAGAGGTCCGCTGTTAACACCTACTGCACTTGGGACAACGCCAATTTCATGACACTACGGTCCCATTGCCGAAAATGCCCAATTTTGTGGGTTGCACTCGCCAGCACAAGATATATTGGCCAAATGAACAATACTCATAGTCATGGAGTGTTTTTTGTACCCAGAATTGACGGCCAAAACGCTGTAACCTCATCATGTTGTGCTCATTCCTGAACCCAATAAAAACTAGCTTTTTGCGTGCCTCTTTAAATTTATTTTGTCCTAAAACGACTTGGAGAGTGCTCGCATTTTACGAGAGAAAAAACAAAGTAACATCATGCATTAACATAGTAGAATGACGGTACTAAGAGCAACCTTCAGATTCAACACCCTTTCGGTGCCTAGTTATCATGCACTTGAAGGATGTACGAAGGTTGGAATACCGCCAGACTACCCACGCCTAGACAGGAACAGTCGAAATGCCGCGCTTTGGTGCGAACCATGGACCTTCAGGTTAGTACATTCGCGACTTTAACATCTGAGTCACCTCGAGCTCTGACGCATGTAGGAATTGACGTATAGCACCTATACCTCGACAATAAGCTACTGGTGTAACGGTGATACTACTGATGGGGAGTCACGCGAGTAGTATTTTTTATTCTTGTGAATTCGCTTTGCGTCTCTTGAAAAGGGAGATCTTTTGCGGAATTTGTGGAGTCGCTTTGTAGCATTTGCTTGGATTCGAGCAACAGTCAATAAGTATCCAGGAAGGTACAGAAAGACGCGTTCAAAGAGAAGATGGATATTCAGTTTTTGTAAACAAGATGCATATGAGAGTTTTGCTTCCCTGCCTAATAGTCTGTAACTGCTCAGTTGGCTTTTTTAATAAATAACTCCGCAGCGAAGGCCTTCTTCCTTTCACTGGTACCGGCTTAGGCCAGTTGACGACCTGCAACAGACCTCTGCACTTTCGTTCGCCGATCGTATTCACCCAGATCGAAATCGAGCTCAAGGGTTTGGGATGAAGCAGCACATTCGGCTCCGAGCAAAAGTGACATCACAAAGCGTTCCAAAACTGTCGCAAAAAACTATCACAGTCAAACACAAATTCTTTTTAGTCTAGAGTAGCCCTCGGTAAGACGACAGAGCCCATTCATCCAAGCTAAGAGGATCTTCTGATCGACAGTCTGGATAGTTGTCTCCTGAGTACTCGCATCACTTGGCCAGGACATCAAGTAGGATACTGGTCGATTCGTGTACGTTTTCGACCCTCCGTTATCAGCTGTAACTCCTGACAAGATCGAATACTTCAAAGAGCGCCCATTCTGTTTTTATTGCAATGTTCGGGTAACATGGGGGATTTTCGAACACCACCAAAAGATGTCCTCTGGCTCCGGAGGACGAATAATTTTTCTGTGGACATTTGCCCATTTAATCTAATACCGCCTGGTACCTTCGTTTTTATGAGGCGGACGTGACATGTCTCACTTCGCTAAGATGCGAAACACTGAACGGTCTTCTGCTGAGCGCAAGATATCTCAGTAGTTCAGGTACGAATTACCATTCGGAAGGTCCATAGTTCGAGCCAAACCGCGGCATCTCGACTGCTTCTGCCTAGGCTTGAACAACCCGGGAGATCTCAGTCCTCGTGTTTCCTTTGGGTGGCATGCCAGCTAGGCATCGAAAGAACTTTACAGCTGAACGATTATTCTATCTATACTTTGCACTAATTACGACAAACAACCGGTCTTCATAAGTGAAAAAATGAACGAAGGATATCCAGTTGCAAGTTGACAATCCCTTCTTACATCATTGTTATGGATTAGAACGATTCGGTCAATGTTGCATTATCCAGCCGCCATGCGGTTGTTTTTGTCCGGAAGTCACATGTTCCCCGTTCGATTACTGAATGTTTGTGAAGAAGGAAGGATCACTTGCGAAATACACTCATTTGCAAACTAAGTTGGTGTTAACGAGGGATTCGGTCGGGATTCAATTGAGTCTCTCATTAAAATGAACTTCATCAGCAAACAAGTGTAATTCGCCAGCTGTGTGTTCAAGAAGAATAAACGTTTAGGAACTCAAGGATTGCGCCTACTTGAAAAGCCACAAGAAGGTCAAAACCGGTCATATTGCCGAGGTGCATTCAACAACCTCATGAGTAGCATGTTCCTACAAAAAGAGACCTATATGAAAAAGGCGATTAAACGGAAACTTCGTTTTTGGCTCTTCTTGCATGTCACTTTCCAATAAAGAAGGAATGCCTTAACAGATGCGGAAAAAAGGATGCTCCAGAGTACACCTTCCGCAAGGATGAACTTCCAAGACTTAGTCAGCCAACCTGAGCATTCGTAGCGTCTGCCAGAATCACGATATCTGAAACTCTCGCTGATCGATAGAAGCTGTCTTTCTCCGCCTCAGAGCTGCCGTATGTCGGAGCACGTGCTGACACAACAAACAAGCATAGTTCACCACGCCGAGGTGTATTGATCTCCATTGAACCAGTCAATCGAACAACCATTGTTCATACAAAATTCACGCCCTAGCTACCAAGAGCCACTGGCCTGGGATCAGCAGACACACGAAGAGTGAGGTACGTCTCGAGCGAATTGAGATGTATGAGCTGACCGTGGTCTTGCATGCGTGTTTCGGAGACACGACTGTGATCTTGCATGCGTGTTTCGGAGACACGACATACATCGACCGAATGAGAAAAAGTCTAGGTTAATACACAACAATCGTTCGGCGGTAGTACTTTTTCAATGTCCAGCCGCCATGCCACTCGAAGGAAGCACGAGGGCTGAGATACTGCCAGCTTACCCAAACCTAGACAGAAGCAGTTAGAATGCCGAGGTTGGGTGAAAACCACAGACCTTCCGATTCGTAAGTTCATGCCGTAAACACAGCCATCTCGAGTCATCTGTTGCCTAAACTGACAGTGAGTGCAGACATTGAACGCAGTAATGCGGAGCAGATCCACTGAATTTAATAAGGGTTTATTTTTATTTACTTTACTGACAGAGAAGTGAATCACAAAGACCTGAGTGAGGAACGTGTGGAGAGGAGTCAGTGAACGAAGAGGTGTAAGAGCGAATAATGCTTCTTGGTTGTCCAGGCCGAAGAATTGGGTTTGTTCAAGGAACTCCAACTTGAACCTTTGACTGAAAAGTCTGACCCACAAGGCAGTGGGAGAATGGAGTTTTGTCCGCGGACCCTAAAAAACTGGACCGCGAGGCAGTGTTTGTTAGGGTTTTCTTGGAGATCCTTCCCGGAGCCAAAGACTCAATAGTCTCACCAACTCGGCTGCAGACGAGCGGCCCGAGGACACAGGGAGTAAGACATTAAGGTATCAGTCCTAATGCGGCTGCGCACAGCAGATGCCTTCTGGTCAGCACTAAACTCTTCGGCTTCAAAAGTACTTCGACCGTTTTGAATAATATGTCGAACGTTACGGTCGACCGTTGGGCGATCGACGTGTGCGGCCTTTAAAGCCGATCTTTTCTAACCCGTCCTTCCTCTGAGAACATGAGAATTGCTGCTTCCATAAATACGGACATGCTGGCCACCTACTTCCCTCACATTCCCATCGTATAGGACAACACGACTCTACCTCAAGACCGCCTCGTAATACGACTTCTCGCAGTACGGGGACTCAATCTTCTTCATTGGGTGGCTCACTGTCGGCCTTTCTGACATGGCTAAACATTAAGGAACTGAGTTCCAGGGACCGTGGTCTGAGAGATCATTGGACCACAGAAGCCCGACCACCAGGACAAGAGGTTGGGCGTGACTGGAATGTGCAAGCATCACGACCCCTTTCAGGCTGCCATTATCTGGCATGGTTTCGTGTGGTCCACATTGTCAATTCACGGTAAACTGCACAGGGTAGATACCAAAGCCAAAGACAAACCCACGTAAAGGCAATTCAGTTAAAGAGATTGAGGGGATGGGAGCCACTGCGGATGTACGGGATGAGTAAGACGTACAGTAAGAGGGCGAGATGGCTCAAGTGGTTAGAGCGCGAATTTACTGCCGGAAGGTCCGTGGTTCGAACCCGACCTCTGCCTCTCGACTTCCCCTGTCTAGGCTAAGGCTACTTGGCAGTATCTCAACCCTCGTGCTTCCTTCTGGTGGAATGGCAGATATGCACCGAAAGGGTGCTACAGCTGAACTATTGAGGAAACAAAAACCACTCACCAAAGTTAATCCAGTATCCACCGGGCTTCAGTATTCGCCAGATGGTTTCCAGGTAGGTCAACACATTATGGGCGGTGTCGATGAAGAACACAGTTGCCACACAGTCCCAGGAATCTGCGAGGAGTTGGAAGAGAAATTTATTGGGGACGGAAACAACGTAACTGAAGACGCAGTCGTTGGCACAAACCAGTTGAAAGTAACACGAGCAAATAGTTAGTTAGATCGATCAACATAGAGAAGAAATAGTTTTTGAGGTGATCGGCATGGTTAATGATGCTACGATAGAGATAGATAGAGAGGTAGTTGTCGGTGAGCAATCTCCTCTTGCCACAATGCGAGTGAGAAACTCGATTACTGTGCGGGGTTTAACAAACTCACACTGCGGAAGTAGTGTTGACCAGAATGGTGGTTCCTGCAAGGTGATGAGGTAACGTTGATGGGAACTAGACAAAACCTATTGGTTGTGGCAGCTCAGTGCTGAGTAAACCAGTGATAGCGGATGCGGCCGATCGAACGAAGCATGCGGTACACATAATTTCCTGTGCTTCAAGCCCCGTGAAATATAAGTGGAACGTGAAGAACTCACTTTTTTAGCCATTAAATCCAATTGAAACATCAGATACAAGTTTAAAAACCGATGGAAACATATCAGCGCTCATTTTCATCATTTGACAGTGGGATATACCCAAAACAAAGGAAAGGTAATTTTAGCGACATTTCTAATGGGCTTATTCAAAAGGGTTCACTTTTAACGTTCGTACTAATGTACACGTTCATTTGAGTTACAAAAGCGAGGAAAGTTAGAGACCTAGCTGGACTGTCCCGTCGAAACAGGACAACTGAAACAGCACGTTGTGGACTCGGAAACCGATTTACATCACACAAAAGCTTACTTACATACAGCTGACTAAGACAGTCTGCTAAACTGCTTAATTTGGGGTCACTAAAGGCTTCTCCAGAAGTTTGAGAGTTCAGGTTTTCCTGCTACGATACTAAATTCATGCTACAAATTTGCATATTTTTAAAATTGCCTCCAATCTTGAACGACTGTCTTTCCCGTTATAAATTCAAATGAACCGCCCTTTTTAATTTTGGTGTAACTAAACTCCACTTCAGTCTTCCAAAGACCTTTATACCCTCCTTTTTTCTCGTTGTATGTTGTACAACTACCAACTGGAAGGTCGCCGGTTCGAGTCCTTCCAGCAACTATGTGGTACGTTGTGGCTTATCGGCATAGATCGCTTTGCTGCATAGCCGTATGTCCTTAAATTTGCTTCCCATCTTGAATGACTGTCTCCCCGGTTATCAATCCAAATGAACAGCCCTCTTTAGCTTCGACATAATTTAACTCTATTTCAGTTTTGCAAAGACCTTTATACTTCCCGTTTCTCTTCTACGCAAATCGTTTTTGCCGCTTTTGTTATACTATTTTTGTATTACAACTTGGTCAGCTATAAATTTGCTTCAGTGCATCAATTGGCGACCAGGTTTCGATCACGCGCTGACTGTTGATCCATATCGGCTTTGCTTGCTTTCTCGAGTACCTCACCGTTTGTCGAAAACCGTTGAAGTCTGTGATTTTGTATCGATGTAATTACTTTCATTTTTATAGCACAGCACACTTGCGTAATTATTTGTTCGGAGTTTTACCAGTTTAGTTGCTAACTTGGGCGCTCGTTGCTCAACTATCAGAAACGATAGTTACACTACTCAACGTTAACAAGCATAGCTTTTTGGATGCCCACCGCCAGTTCAATCTCGGTGAATTCAAAACCGGACGAGGAAGTTGAGAAAAACAACAGATAAGTCGAACATGAAATATTTTCAGCGAAGAGCTCTAGGGTAGCTTCTAGGATGAGTTTGGGGAATTCGAGGTCCAAGGCTGCTTTATTGGTAGCGCAGTTTAAAGAAAGACAACTTAAAGAGGAATTCAATTTAGAATCAGAGGCTATGAAAACCAATCATGAAAAACAACTCCTGAAAGCCAAAACGGAGGTGGAGTTGGTGGAGCTCGAAGGATCTTTGACTGGAAGCGAAGACGGATTGGTGCGTAGCAACCGGTCAGGACTGTCAGAGTCCTCAAAAGAGCGTATTAACAGCTATGTTGAAGATTGTAGAAAGATTATATCGCCGTTGAATTCTGAAAACCAACGTAGTTTCCGGGTGGCCGAACGACAGCAAAATAGGTTAGGTGACTATCGCCATCTGGAATCTATTATAGAGGGCCAGGATTTGCCAAAAATCGACCTTATGCAGTTTGATGGTCAACCCAGGAGCTACTGGAGGTTTATGCGTCAGTTCGAGCTTTACGTCGAAAGCAAGACCCAGGACGATGGGAAACGGCCGATACAATTAGTAAATGCATGTGCCGGTGTAGCCAGGGAGGCTATCAGAGATCGCCTCATGCTTCAGCCTACAGAAGGATATGGATGAACCCGCCGAATTCTGCATGAGCCTTTTGGAAAGTCACATGTAGTGGCTAGACCCCTGATCAATGGTCTTATAAAATGTTTTCGTTCTACATCGTGCAAGGCGAGAGATCTGACTCAGATGAACTACAGTGCAGAACTGAGTTCTCTGGGGAATTTGGATAGGTTAGTGAGGTGCTTGCTATATGCTTTACAACAGAAATTGACGGGATTCGTTCAAAAAACCATCGGTGATCAGAGGAAGTCGAACTTTTCCGATCTCACACAACTAAGTAGTCACTACGGCATTATGCCAGAATCCGTTCCCTCTGAGCTGAGAACTCTACAGTCAGCCGCAAGATAGTCCCTACCTCACCATGCGGTACTGAATCCCAGAAAGCCTGGAAAAATGCGAGTTGTATTTGACTGTGCAGCTAAGCACCACGGAAGATCGCTGAACGAAATGCTTCTCCAGGGACCAGATAAAACTGCTGATTTGGTAGGTGTTCTTTTGAAATTTCGAAGTGACCGGGTCGCTATGTCCGCAGATGTCGAAGAAATGTTCATGCAAGTTCATGTACCACAGTTTGATCAAGGGGCTTTGAGATTTCTGCGGTCCTCCCAGAGTGAACTTAATAGTGAGCCTATTGAGTTTCAAATGAATTCTCATGTTTTCAGTGCCTTTCTGTGCCCATTTCACCTTGCAGCAAACAGTGTCTGTCTTCGGCAAGGATCATGACCATAAAATTAAATCATCCGTGTTAAAGAACTTCTATGTAGATGATTGCTTGGTGTCAGTACCTTCCGTCACTGACGCAATGAGTTTTGTGCAAGGAATAACCGAGCTACTGTCAAAAGGTGTCATAAGTGGACGAGCAATATCCCGATGTATTGTAAGGGCTCCCGCCATCGGAATAAATGGAGGCTGTAGTAGAAATGTCTTTCAAAACAATAAATACACAGCAGGCGCTGGGCATTTAATGGGATTCATCTCTTGACACCCTTTGCTTTCGGTTTCGTATTCCCGAGAAACCACTAACACGAAGAGGAATTCTAGAAGCTGGTTGTGCGGTTTTCCATCCACTAGGATTGGTAGCCCCTGTATGTTCGACCGCGAAGCAGCTGCTACAAGAACTATGTAAGGCCGACCTTTGTTGGAGCTCTCCTATCAGTGAAGATCATTCAATCCGATTACATTCTTGGTTGAACTTGGTCAAGTCGATTGTAGTTGTGTGGCACCTAAGATGCTTGTCCCCTGACAATTTTGTGGGTATCTGTGGTCCTGAGTTTCACGTGTTCTCAGACACGTCAGAAACAGGTTATGGCGTTGCTGCATTAGTACGTTTTGTTTCAAACGATGGTCGGGTGGCGTGGCGTTTGATTTCCGGAAAATTTAGAGTTTCACTGTTGAAGACCGTTGGCGTTCCGAGGTTAGAACTTGCTGCCGTCGCATTAACCGCCAGGGCCCACAAACTACTTATTGAGTTTGCCTGACTTCTTCTCCGCGGCCACTCTTTGGACAGACTCACAACTAGTGCTTTATTACATCAACAATCAGTCCACGAGATTTTGTACCTTTTTGGCCAATCGGCCAGCCAGTATCAATGAATACTCCTCGCAGAACGAATCGAAGCACGTGAAATCATCACAAAACCCTGCCGACCTAGCATCCAGGAGCATTAAAGAAGTGGACAACTTGAGTCACTGGGTGTATGGACCCTAGTTTATCAACGAACCGAAGATTCCTGTGTTATATTTGACCCTTGATTAGATGCCCGATGGCGTGGAGCTGAAAAAGATTCGAGCAACTGGTAACGTTTTTTCTACCCGAAGTGTTTCCGAGCGTTTGTTTGTCCGATGGTTTAGCTGTTCAGGCTGTTGAAAGCAGTTGCGTGTTTGAGGCGCTTCATACGCTAGCTTATGCACAAATTTGGAAGGTCTATCATCATGCCGATTGCTGGTCATCTACAAGTGGCCGTTATCCGTCAGGTCTGTAGAGGTCACTCATCAGATCACGCGTCACAAACACTCAAACCACGTGACAATTCCTGTCCCACTTGCAGCCTTAGCCGACAAGGGACACCCCTATCTTCACACTGCACACAATAAATAGGCATACAACTCGACCCAACACACACTCGCGCGCGCAGGAAGCAGGAAGTCAACCATTCTTCACAAGTCCACGGACAATTATGGAATATATGTAGCGGCCATACTGCGGAGAAAACACGTTCCCGCCGTCCCGAATTTCACCAAGGAACTCCCACAGACGATAAGTTCCTCGTTTGACTAGCTCCCGTTTTGCATTGCATTTATTTTCATACGTGTGGCATCTTACCATTGTCAACTATACTAAAACATTTATTAGTGCATATACCTTCTGCATTGTGTTACAGCCATCATCAGCAGTGCACTAATAGGTCCAAGTAGAAGTATATAGTGGCGAATTAAGTCGTTTAAAAACGACTCACTCGATCGAAGCCGACTAGGGTCTCAGCACTACGTAAGCTTTGTCTCATCCTTTTCGACAGTGTTCTTTGCGTTGGTGGATGACTGAAGTATTCCAGCTATGCGTTATCCTTGAAGCGCCTTTCTATATAGCCCAATGAACGCCCAGTTACTTATCTACTCATTTGAGATTATCATGAAACAGAAGGTCATTCCGGGACGCTTCTCATGTCCTAGGCGTTATTAGGCAAAATGTTTGGGAAGTTCATGGTAGACATCGTTGAATCGCATCCTCCATAAGAGTATTCGGTGCAGAAAACGGTCATGGAACATATGTCAGCAGATGATGGCTCCGTTAACATCAGTGCGATCCGAAAAGGGTAGAAAATGTTTCGAAGCCCTGGGTGCTGATTATTTTGGACCACTTTTGGTAAAGCGTGGTCGCAGCATATTTTCATGTATGGCTACCCGAGCGGTTCACCTCAAAGTGACGCACTTATTGACTACCGATTCATTCATTATGGCGTTAATGAGGTTTGTTGGTCGAAGAGGAAAACTTTTGAATAGTTACAGCGATAACGGATTCAACTTCATTGGCACCGTTTAGGAACTCAGGGAGCACGTATCGCTTTGGGACCAAGAGAAAGTTAACAACCAACTACTGACTCGAGATATTCAGTGGCATTTTAACCCCCCCCCCTCCGTTTTGCTAGCCATCGAGGAGGCGTGTGGGAACGAATGATACGGTCAGTGCAGCAAATCATTTCTGTGCTCATCCAAGAACAAATGATTGTTTGTCAACTTTTTTCGTCGAGGTGGAATGTATTCTGAACGATCGGCGTTTAACATCTTTAAGTACAGATTGCCATAACGCACTGGCTTTGACTCCGAATCACCTCTTGCTACACGAAGCAAACCCAGGTATCTCGTCTCATTGAGATTTGCAAGAGCGGCTCACCCGACGTTGGATACAGGTGAATTATTTGCCGGATGTTTTCTAGAACAGGTGGATGGAAGAATACATTCCTACGCTTCAGCTTCGCCATAAGTGGTTAAGTCAGAATAGAAAACTCAGAAAGGGTGATGTCGTTCTGGTAATGTCCGAACATCTTTCTAGGGGAAGGTGGCCATTCAGTAATGTCACAGAGTGTCAAACGAAGGCACACGGTCTTGTCAGAACGTTTCCCCTTGGCGCTAGCTCCCTTTCTAATAAACATAGACTCCAAACATCGCGCTTGATGACTGAATGGCCACCTTCCTCTCGCCTTTCGAAAATGAGCATAGACTTCAGGTCAACAAACTGTTGCTCCCAGAGGTTTGGGCGTCGGGACTATCGGAACTAACTCATTTACTTGGCGTGGTTTCCAAAGGCGTGGTCGGGAAAAGAGAGAGAACCCACGTGGTTCTG